CCACCACACCTGGCTAATTTTTGTATTTTTAGAAAAGATGGGGTTTCACTGTGTTGGTCAGGCTGGTCTCGAACTCCTGACATTGTGATCTGCCCACCGCAGCTCCCAAAGTGCTGGGATTACAGGCGTGAGCCACTGTGCGTGGCCAGTATTTCTGACTTCTAAGAGAATACTTAAAAGTCTGTTCTTTGAAATATGTGGGAAATAACACTGCTTTCAGGGTTAAACTAAATTACTTCTCACTCTCTTCCAGTTCTTATATTCTGTTGTGTGATTTTTTTGTCTTGTTTTGTTTTTTTGAGACAGAATTTCACTCTTGTTGCCCAGGCTGGAGTGCAGTGGTGCGATCTCAGCTCACTGTAACCTTTGCTTCCTGGGTTTAAGTGATTCTCCTGCCTCAGCCTCCCAAGTAGCTGGGATTACAGGCACCCGCCACCATGCCTGGCTAATTTTTGTATTTTTAGTAGAGACAGTGTTTCACCATGTTGGCCAGGCTGGTCTCAAACTCAGGACCTCAGGTGATCCACCTGCCTCGGCCTCCCATAGTGCTGGGATTACAGGCGTGAGCCACTGCTCTTGGCCTGTTGCATGATTTTGAATAAGAAACTCACTCTTTATTTCTCACTCTTCTCTCTTTCATCATTCAGTTTTCAAAGCACTTAATGATCCAGGGAGCTCATTGTTAAACCCGTACCTCTGTCAGTCATGTACTTGTAAGGCAAGACTCTTCATTGTTAGAAGCTTTTTCTAGGGATACCTGTAGCAATTGGTGTTACTTAACTTCTTGACTGATGACAGTAACATGGGTTTTCATAAAGTGAAGTCATAACTCCTTATTCTGTGATTTTGTTTGCTTAACCCAAGCATGTGTCTTGTAGCGCAGTACCAGTCTTTTCTTGCTCCCTTGATTTGGGCATGATCTATCTATGATAGACAGAGATGGTTCAGTGTAATTTTCAAGAGCATGGGCTCTGGAGCCAGAATGCCTGTTTCTTCTCCTTCTCTGGCAGTATGACTTTGGTTAAGTTACTTAACTTCTCTGTGCTGTAGTTTACCCTGTCTGTAAAGTGGGGATAATAATGAACCGATTCACAGAAAGAGCTTGAAACTTCACCTACTTTATAAAGTAAGTGCTCGATACATGCTAGCAATGATGACGACAACTGTTGAAGAAAACTGATGATTGGCAAAAAATAATTCCTTAACAGAAAGATATTTAGATTATTTTTCTTGTTATTAGGTGGCACTAGTACCCGGGTGATCTGCTCAGATTGTTATGACAATGCCAACATCTACTCCAGGACCCGAGAATACTGTCCATACACATATATTGCTGAGGAGGATGTTCTTGATCAGACGCTGTCCAGCCTCATGGTTCAGATGCCTAAAGAGACATATTTAGCACATCCTCCCCAGGATACTACTGCCCTAGAGAGCCTGATATCATCAGCCGACAGAGAGCCATCTGCCTTTCCCACCAACCATGAGAGGATAAATGAGAAGAAACTTTTCTCCACACAGCTGAGCAGTGGTAAGGGATGCATTTTGTTGTTATTTTGTTTTTACTTTCATCTAGTTGACCCTTCCTTCTATCATATAGGTAGTGCTCTCATTTGACAGGAAGCAAACAGCTCGGTATATAGGAGTAACTGGCCATTGTTAAATGGTGTAAACTATAGCTAGAGATTTCTACATATTAGAATTACAAAGAAGTCTTCATCTATAGGATGGAAACAACTTTTGTGAGAGGGGTAACAAGATCACACTACTGAAAATTCAGAGGCCATACATAATGAGCTTTTAGGCCCAGTGCGGTGGCTCATGCCTACGGTCCCAGCACTTTGGGAGGTCAAGGTGGGCGGATCACAATATCAGGAGTTTGAGACCAGCCTGGCCAATATTGTGAAACCTTATCTCTGCTAAAACTACAAAAATTAGCTGGGCTTGGTGGTGGGCACCTGTAATCTGAGCTACTTGGGAGGCTGAGGCAGGAGAATCCAGGAGGTGGAGATTGCAGTGAGCCCAGACATTGCACTCTAGCCTGGGCGACAGAGCGAGACTCTGTCTCCAAAAA